GTGCGTGTGTGTGTGTGTGTGTGTGTGTGTGCTGCCTTTATTCTTCTTTATGTGACCTATATTATTCTTGCACACAAACATCATCTGGACCTACCAGTTGCCATCTTGTGCAAACAAAACTCCACCACACAGAAGTTCAGTTCAGTGTCTGTTAAATTTGAAAAAATTAAATACAATTATGAAGAGTTCAGTTCAGATTAAAAGCAAAATTAATTCATTGTTTCATTACTGCAAACAATATAGCTAAAATATTTTTCTACTAGAAGCACAAATGTTCAGAAGTGAATGTTAGTATAAGGAGAAGAATTCGTTTCTCCAAAAAAATCATAAACTGTTTCATAAACAGTTTAATATTTAATTTATAATTCAGACAAAAATTCTGAATTACAGCTTTCGTGCTGAATACTGATTTTGCTTTGCAAAGTAAAAATCTGCTGCACTTACCTGAGGCTGTGGTATATTTTACTGGAACATCATTCTGTCATATTTTTGGTTGAAGTCACCGTCATGTCGGTTTGTCTGTTTTTAAGGAAACCAGGATGAACATAGTATATGTTGAAAATAATGAAAAAAGAAACAACTTTTTTTCTATTAGAATTTTACTAAAGTTTCATGTTTGATAATGCTAAATTTGCAAAAATATTCAAAAATTTACAAATATGCATTACATTTGTAAATGGTGCTTAAAGGTCTTACTAATCTATGAACTAACCCCTCTGTAGAAATAGAATATAGACAGAAATACAAACTGGATTTACAAATGTATTTTCCAGAGTTTTGTACATTTCTATTGGAAAATAATCATTACTTCTAAACATGCTAATGACATCACCATAGACCTATGTAAGTTACGTTGTTTTTGTCACTAAATATGCAGCAGGTATTTATTTGACCCCACTTAAGTGCTTTACCACACACTTTCTTTCCAGTTGTTGAAAGTTACGAATGACTAAACAAGATTTGGATTGCAGATATACACAAACAATATGCATTTAAACACACAGATATTCTGTTTTATACTTACCAGATACCAGATAGTAGAGCTGCTTCAAAATAGAATAATGTCAAGGAAGAGTTTGTGTGAGACCTAAACGGCAGGATACGTGCACTGACAAACGCCTGCCAAATTCCAAAAAGTATGAAATGTTTTCATTGTTCAGCCTGACAACAGAAACCTGACACCCTGCAGGGTTCCCATCAGCCACTCAGTTTCAATTATGTTTACAGCAATACATTCTATTATCTAATACTTTACTGACACAGTATTATAAAGAGCCTTGGGTCAGGTGACTAAAACATCTTCCTGATAGATTCAAAAGTCTAATGCTAACGTGCAATTATGCTAACAGCTGTGACGGGGAACTGAAAAAACATGTAGTGAAAGTTGTAAATTTAACATGTCTACTGTATGTTATAAGAAAGTCTTGCCATTGAGCAGAAATCCTGAATAGACACTTATTTGGACATCTGTTTTAAAGCATTATCTAAAATAACTTTAACTTGATCTTGGTCATGAAAATCTAAACACTTTGTGTGCAGAATTACCAGTCAAATCTAATTTCTACTGGGCATTATTCTTCTACCACCAGTGTTGCTCTTTCAGAAAAGTCATGTATAATTGAGCACCATGCCTGTCTCTTAAAATGTCTCTGTTTATAGTAATATATTGGGTTTAGCTAGATTCCCATCAGAAAAACTAGACTGAAGTGAAACTCCAACTTTAGGGCCCTCCCATTAAAAACACAGCAGAGTCTAAAATTACCTTAATGGGCTTGCATGGTGCAGGGCTGGAAAAACTGGTAATACTGATCCAAGCTAAGACACATCCACATTATCAAACTACACATTTAATAACCTCTATCTATTTTTAAAAAAAGGTGTGTCAGGACATGAGTTCACTTCCCTGTTGAGTTCCTGGAGATGCTTTTAAATGATCCTCTTCTAAGACAAACAGGCTTTTATCTGAAAAGACTGATGAGGCAACAGAGCAGGATTCCTGCATTTATGTTCGTGCTCGAGATTCTCGAGTTACAAGTCGGTCTTTGATCCTTTAGACTCAGTCTGAAGTCATGACTTTATGACATTTTGTCAGCTCGAATGGTTTAACACATTCAAGCAAATGAAGACACACTCACACTCCTTGTGAGGTGTTGGAGTTGTGTGATTTATAATCCTGAACCGCGCACATGGACGGGCATGTGTTATTATTGAAAACCTGATTATAAAGCTTTTACCTTTGCTTTCTATGAAAACAGACAACAGAAGAAGATCAGACGCTTGACGACGCTGCCCCACTGATCTGCCAGACGAATCGTTTTGAACTCTGTCGGCTGCTGTAAGGCAGCAGGGGTTTTTATTTTTCATACCGCAGCCTGTTGGACGTGTTTGATTTATAACACAGCCCCACCTGAAAGTAGTGGCATGTGTTCAATACGTATGTTTTCAATACATACATTTGTTTTAATGCATACAAGCTTCTGCATGTTTGTGCACCCCTCTTTCTCCTTTTTTTCCGGGGAGGTCATTGGGTGTGTTTGATTTATAACCCGGTCCCTCCTAGCTGTGTTTTCACATGGATCCAAAAACACCTTACTCCTGTCACTGTGTGGAAAGAATTAATAAAACACACACATTCTTAAACGCAGATCTTCAGGACTTGTCTGGCTTCATTAACTCCTCTCTGACATTATAACACATTACAAGAGGGAAATGCCTCATTCCTGTTATCATAGTCATGAACATTTACATAAGCAGATCTTTTAGTACTCACGTAACCTGGAAGGTCCATTTCAGTCCCTCAGTGTCAGTTGATAATAGCAATTATCTGCAATAGTTTGCCAGGACTTCACTGTAGACAATGGGAAAGGTGTGCACTGTTAATAAACCGAAGTGAATTTAATTAGTGTAGTCCTATAAAAAATTTTCTAAACACACATCTTGCCACTTGATAGGCGTCTTTGAAATACTTACTTAGTAGTATTTGTATTTTATTTTGTTTTTTACAAATTAGACTACTACAGCTGTGTCTTTGGGGGGCGGAGCCAGGGTCATTATCATCTACTATTAAACCAAAATAAAGTATTGCTGTGCTGAGTGTTATCATGCATTCAAATTGTGCAACTTTTGGAGGAATGCATGGTGATCATGGGAGCTCTAGATGTTATTGTTGCCATCAGTGTGTTTCAGTATCTTATGTTGTAAAAATCATATAAATCTTTTAAACTGATGAATCTGAGAGGAAGACCATTTTAAAGAGATTTATGATGCTTCTGTTTTCTGTTATTTTTGTCTCCCCCAATGTTAAGTGCAAATGTAACTTATGTTTCTGTATTTCTAAGTCCTCCTTTTAATTTGTTTGTCTCTATGTTTGATTTTTTACATTTTCTTCCATTTCCTCCCTTTTTAATATGTTCGTTTTATGTGTCGTAACTTAATTAATTAAGCATAATGTCACTGGCTGACTCCCACCTCCCTCTCCTGCCTGTCTGATTTTCCTTTTTATCATCTTTAACTTTTTTTTGTGTGTGTTTTTCTGCTTTAACGTTTGTCCTCCTTAAATTCTCCAACTCTCACTGTTTGTTCAACCCTTTCTTCCCCAGAGAGTCACTTGACCAGAAAAAATAAAGTTGTCTAAATTCTGATTGTATATCTTTCTATAGATACTTTCAGGAGAACTGATGTCTCCTTGAAGATACAAAATCAATCTAAAATAAATAAATACATTATTAGTATTGAGAGTTTCTTGGATGAGCAGGTTCAGTGTTGAGGTGTTTTTGAAACATCAAGTCAAATTTTATTAATTGAACATTTCTTATACTGAGGCACTTCGAATGGAAATGTAAAAACAAAAAAAAGGAGTTATGGTTTGTATTAAATGTAATTTGATTTCACTTTAAGTGGTTGTCACAAGCTGTTTGCACAGACTAGGTTTTCTGGCTCAAAGGCACTTTGGCAAAAAAAAAACAAAACAAGGGAGTCGTGAGGGAGTTGAACCTGTGACCTCTGTTACAATCTGGTCTGTCTGACACTGTACGGCCCCGGTGGGAGAAAAACATGTGGGAAAGTGTTTTAAAATAGTCTGGGTATGAAAATGTGGTTTTGAATGTGGATTTCGCTCATGTTGTTATAAAGATGTTTTTGGGTGGATGAGGTGTTTGTTTTAGCGGTGGTGTGACCCGGGAACCGACAGCCCAGTGGCTGCATGTTTGAACAATATAATGGTGATTAGTTGGTCTGAACAGAGTGAGAGACACCAGATATTTCCCATAAATCATTCGGATTTGGTCCGATGTGAAATTAAGCTGTTATCAGATGGGAAGCTTTTGTAAAATCAGACCTGGAAAGAGTCACCAACCACCTCACACCATCTTGTTTCCAGGACTGTTTTTATCCGAAGTAGGGTTTAAGGACAGTTTGTTCAACATTTTCATCAAAGTTGTTATCCACACATGTATAAATCAGGCATGCGCTTATCTTCGATGTCTTTTCTTTATTGTTTTAGAGAGCTTTGGTGCTGCTTCACTTCTAGGTAAAGAGTAAAATTACATGGCTCCTTGCAGGGAAAATTAAGTTATTTCCTTCCAGAAGTCCAGCGGTCTGTACCTATAAAAAAAATATATGTTTAAGATGTGCTTTACACTTAATGGTCTGTGGCTGTCTCTGTATGTTTTTATATATAAACCTCTGCAGTCTATATAAACCTCTCCTCAGGGTGGGTTCCTCTTAGCCAGGTACATACAATGGCCTTCACTCTCCAGAGTCAGCACACAGTTAATGCTAGAGTCACACCACTGCTTGAAGACTTCTGCACAACCAAAGTTATGGAAAGGTCTGCGACCACATCTTTAAAGATACTTTGGTGTGTCAAGGTGGTGATAAACTGTGATAAGACAGCATCAGTCTGCTATCACGTTGTGACTACATGTGGTCAAGTTGGCAGTTACGTCCAATCTGTTTGTGATGATATTGTGATTAACCAGGAAAAATGACAAACCTGTTGCTGTCCACACACACAGAAATTTACTCTGAATGATCACATTCAGATTCCAGCCACGTTTTAAGGCAGAAATCTAAACATTCCGCCATAAATATACTGATGTTGCTTCTGCAAGAAGTCATGGATTTAACCGCACCCTTTGTTGAAACCTGTGTTCAGCAACCTATAGGGCGTTGGAGGTCGATTGAGTCCCATATTGCAAAGAGACACACTGCAGATAAGCTGTGCTCTATGGTGCAGAAAAACATGTATAGATAGAAAAAAATCTTTGCACTGATTGCTGGCAATGTTAAAATTATATTAATTTAAAAAAAATCAGTGAATAAAAAGTCTGTAGAAACAATACTCAACTTGAGAAAAATGATGAGACACCTCAGACTCGACTCGAAGTAAACAGCAATAGGCCAGTCTTTGTGGACTTTGTGTAATTGCAGACTATTCCAGAGGCTTTGGCAATAACAGAAAGCCTGCACGCCTTTAGTTTTTATATGTGAGGTTGGGACAGAGAGGAGCTGCTGGGAGGACGACCTCAGTGACCTGATCTGTAACCTGTAGGGCGCCGATCCACAGAGGGATAGATTAACATTAATGCTTTTCACTTTTGTTCAGCATTATTACTCTTAAAGTTTTTTGTTTGCTTGTTTCTTTTTTTTAACTGAACCACTGTTGACCTCAATATTCTAATGCATACAATGTGGATATGTGTGTTCATTTGCATATAGTTTGGTGTGTTTTTTGTGTGTTCATAACTTTAAAGTTTTTATAGTTTTTTATAGTTTTATTTGTTTGTAGTTATTTTTTTAAATTGTAATTTTCTTGCAAAGCTCAATTATATATTTTTGAAACATCACACTTTATCCACAAATCAGTTCTCAGGTTTGCCAATGAATGAATTTGTTTATATATCAAAATGGTTACATTTATCTATTTAGTGTTTATTTCTTAACTTCGATTCAGCTAGAGAATATTTTGGTTTTCCTTCAGCTCTTCTCAAGTAAAACACCTTATTTTTACTCTCTGCAACTCCCAAGAAATGTCACTACATGTTGGGATAAATAAATAAATAAACTGCACTAAATGTCTACCCTGCATTGTAATTTAAAAGTGACAACATGACCAGAGAGAGAGGTGAAGTTTACTTTTGATGCACTTTTCAAACTAAACATGCCTGTGTCTGTATTGTAGATCCTGCATCTTCTACAGAGCATGTATGGATATCCCCAGAGGAACAGAGCTGCTGGTTTGGTACAACGACTCCTACACCTCGTTCTTCGGTATCCCGCTGCAGTGCATCGCCCAGGATGAAAACTGTGAGAAAATGTCTCAATAATCTAAGTTGACCTGTCTAGTGTATGTATATGTACATATACGTATAGTGAGATTGATAAACATTTTTTTAAAATAAGCCTTAAATTTAGGCAAACGAAACAAAAAGACATTTACTGAATGTGTTTTTCTGTCCAAACTTTGTTAGGTCACACCTTCCAAGTTTGTTGAAGTACAACATTATTTACATAGTTAAGAAAATGTGTTTAAAGGTCATCTGTTTCCTAGGAAGCAATAGGTTCACCTTCTTCAGCTGCCCTATGTTAAACTGAAGCACTAAAAATGGACTCAGATGTAAATTTGACTATGATATCTAAATGTCTGACACGTCCAAACATAAGCCAAACCTCTGCCTGCATTTAAAATCAGCTGTTTTCTTTGGCCATTCCTCAGCTTTTATTACTGACAGTATTTAAACTGGAGGAAATCTTTTGGCCTGCCACAAAAACAATGATACAAATGCATTTTCTTTAAAGAAAAAAAAAAGGGGATTTATTTGTCTGAAAAACCAAGCCAGCCAAAACAGGACTGGGGCAGGTCTTTTATTTGCTAAAATGTGGCCACACTGTGGGTTAGTGTTGACACACTTGCCTATTTTCCTGTCCTTAAGTCAAATGAAACTAAGGATGTTTTCCATCAAGACTTCTCATTGTTTTCTTCTTTGAAAACCCACACGTTTCTAAAGCTCTCTCTACTCCAGAGCAGGTTGGGTTCAACGAGCAGTGTGTAGGGACGGTACTTTGCTCAGGGGTACCTCAGGGTAGCCGTTCAGTGGAGTCGAACCCACGACCTTCAGTCAGGCAGGGGCTCTGACTGATCTGCACCTACGCAACAACTACTTCAAACCACTTGGCGAGTAGCAGTGAAACTGAGAAAAGTGGAAGAGTGGTCTCCAAAATGGAGGGTGTTTGCCTTCAGAGTAAAGGTTATATATTGTAATTTAAATATTCTTGTTGTCCAAATCTTGTGTTTTTAGCAGCAGCAGAACACCATTTTATCAAAAGTTCACCTCTCCCCCATGAGATAAGAAAACACTGTGAGGAATTTTTGCACAAAAACATGAGAACCAGGACGAGTTGAGAACCTGTTCCACATAGTCCACTCTTTCGTAATTGTCTCTCCAAGCTTATCAGTGTTTTTTATCAGTGTAGGTGTTTCCCTGAACGCTGAACATTGCAAAACAATGATGTTAAACTCATACCAAAGGAGCTGTTGCACACCTTTTCAGGATATTTTTTTTTTGTTAGAACTGTGAAAAATCCCCTCTCCCTGACAGTGTTATGAAGAAATCCTTACCATCCATTTTTATAGGTTTTATTCACTCAAAGCACAGGTGCATGTATTGATATTATTGCCATATTATCAGGAAAAAGCATAAATATTGTTACAGTATTGGGTTTTTGTCATCGTTTCAGTATCTTTTGGATCATTCCCCCTAGGCGCTATCCTTTTGAACTCATTGGAACAGATGTTTATCAAGAAGGTAACAGTGACTCAGATCCTTTACTGTATGCAAGAGTCATGCTTACTGGTATGTAGTTAGTCCACAAATGCCCATTGTGGGCCAGGAAAAACCCTGCTGAATCATATTCAAGCCTCGTTTCTGTTTCTACAGATCTACTTTTCCTACAAACGCACGAAACTGCTCAGGAATCAATACGAGAATTGATCAAAAAGCAAAATCGACGATTATAATAAAGTCAAGGAAAACTTCAACACCCATCCCTATTTTATAGGTGCTTTTTTTGGGCAAATACTAGCCAGTTATTTCATGCATTTTACTAAAATACTTAAAAGGTTTCATGTCTGAGTTTTGATTAAATTAGGTGAAATTAAAAATAATGCATAGGCAGCTTAGGTCTTTGTAAACACAAGTAATACAACTGTGTGCGTTTGCTGCCACAGTCCCGCCATGATGAACGATGGCATGTAAAAGACTTGTTCCATCTGTAAAACCAGTTTGTGGCCAAACGTCTCTAATTTGCAATCAGCAGCACGATCTCATTTCACTGCGACTCTGTGAAAGACGAGCCTCTAATTCAATTCAATTCAATTTAGATTCCACAGATTAAAAATCTTTTTTCATGTTTGGTTTTTTGTGGGGTTTTTTGGTCAAAGTTTGTTTTTATCCCCCTGCAGGGGCTTGCTCTGTCAAATCCACAGGAGAAAAAAATGTTTAAATGGAACAGATATAAACAGGCTGACTGAGCAGAAAACTGGAGGAGATGTAAACAAAAACAAATTAGTGACAGAGAAAAAGAGAGAATGGATAGAGAAGAGACAGAGGGGGGAGAAAGAAAGAAACTAAAGACAGAAGACTGGGGAGAGGAGGGACAGAGACAAATACAAAGCACTGATTGACAGAGAGAAATAAAGACACAACAAAAACCATTATCCCCGTGGTTTGAAGGAGGAATTGTGCACTGAAGATATGAACGTTTCATCCCACTTTGTGAACAACTGAGTGAAAAATGTGAAGCGGATTTTAGACTCATGGACATCCACGAGCCTGACTGTTGTTCTTTTTATGACTATGTGGACTAGTTCGTGGAGACTTTTCAAGCAGACCCCACTCCACCGTCAGGTCTCCAGCTTTTCGTGTCTGCAACCGAGTAACACAGGCTTTAGGGAGCCTCAGCCAAACAACCTGACTTTTATTGTTCTGGCCATCTGTTCAGGCTGGTCTTTTAAATCAGTTCTGATAATATATAAGACATTTTAACAAACACATAGAGAAGTTTAAGCCTGATTGGTAGGCAAAGGCAGTGTTGCCAACTCCTCGGGAAGGAAAATCGCTATTGGCTGTCCTAAAAGTCACTAGAAGTCACAAAATGATGTCATCACCTAATTTGCATAATTGGTCATGCTTATGTAATTGTAACTGACGCTTTAGGAGAGAGAGAAATAACATCGTGGAAGAGACATAAAGCCAGTAAAGAACACCCTAAATGCATTTCGAATATATTTAGAACTAAAATTTAATTTCTTTCAGCAATTATTTTTTTAATGTCACAATTCCAACCCTCCTCCTTTATCCAGGCTTGGTACTGGCTAAAGTGACCCAAAATAAGCACTCTTTGTGTGTGTGTGTGTGTGTGTGTGTGTGTGTGTGTGTGTGTGTGTGTGTGTGTGTGTGTGTGTTGCTCTCAATGTCTTCCTTTCATGTAAATGTCTCATCTACACATCTGCATGCTTTATGATAATGTAATATATGATAACGAATATCCTCCACTAATAATCTGCCCTGCATGAGACTCGTCAGTGATTGACACAGACTATGTATGAATCTGTCTTGGTTATCAAAGATATAGCTGAGTCACGGTGAGTCTGCAAATCGGGATTCACAGACATCTAAAGAACAAGACGAAGACCGATATGAAGTTCATTTTTGCCAAGTCACAGTTCAGTTACCAGATTTACACTACTGTCTTTATCAGAGGACAGACTGTGCACAAGCTAGTCTACGTGCAATCTTGATGTAATTTCTCGTGCCAGATAAAACCTTCGATAAAACAAAGGGTCGTTTTGTTAAACGCGAAACGTAACTTAAATATAAATCCTGTCTTCATTGTGTCCAGTACACGCTGACAGGTCAGGTCATCTTTTCTACTCATTCTTATTAAAAATGAAAGTCAAACATAAGAAAAGGCACTTAGAAGTCCCAGTAATGTGTATTTTTAACAAACACAACCAGGATTACCGAACCTTTTACAAACAGCACGTACATGTTTCTGGGTGGACACACAATGCTTTGAACAATCAGTCATACTGATGACACCAGGACCCAAACTGAAAGGAGGAGTTTGTAGAGTTGACTCACTTTCAGTTCCCTAAAAAACAAACAAACAAACAAACAAACAAACAAAAAAATTGGTTTAACTTGTGCAAGGACTGAACACGGAGGGAGAGGATCAGCATACGTCACTGACTGTACTATTACTCAGAGATACGTTACTCAAAATTTGATGCGTTTCTTAGTTCTTTAATTTTGAAGAGATTGAGGTTTATAATTGGTTTGAGCTTGCTGCAGAATGTGACCCACATCAGGGGTGGAGATGAGCTGGACATGAAAACAAAGCAGTCTTTGTTTCACATCTTTTTACTCGCTCTGTCATATTTCCACAGAGCTCCAATGATTATCAGCTACTAGCACAAGTGGTTACTCCCTGTGTTCTTAATCAATAATG